ACTAAACCATCATTTTAGTGCTGAAACTACTACAACTATGATTGATGAATTGTTATTCATTGAGCAAAAATGCCAACAATTCACTGATCTATGCTGTTGTTCTCTATTTTATTTTATTGTATATGTCTAAGCTTTGGACTGTTTGGACAAAAAAGATAACATGAGTTCTGGGACTTTGATAGGAAATTTTATAGATTAACTATATACACTAATCATCAACAGGAGCCATGATGCTGAATGTGAACCAAACCGGGTCAAAGTTTTGCACAAAATTGTATCAACTCCCACAAATAACAATATATATAATAAACAGCTAATCCAATAACCAATAAAGCATGTGACTCATTGTTGTTGCTGTACGCAGACCACAGAGGCTGGAGCTGTTTGTTATGCTAGGACAGACAATGCCTAGAAAGCAGCGTACCGCTTGTTGGTTTTGGAGCTGCTCCAGTCAGAGTAACGTGGAGCTGAGTGGGAGGAGGGAAGCTGAAGACCCGGTATGACATCACCTCTCTTGCCCCGAGCCATGATGTAATGTATCACAACAACAAAAAAAAGCTCAGGTGCCTTGCTGTGCAGCCCGGTCATTAGCATCTCCAACAATCACCGGGGGGGGGAGGGGGTCGTGTCTGGGGAATATCAGACCTTCCTGCCCAACCCCCCCCTCCTCTTACAGCGTTCTAGGAACAAACAAGCCCATTAATCATTTTTGTACTGACTAATCACAAGCTACATGTAAAAGGGAGAGAGGCAGCGGAGCATCGATCTTACAGGGTCGTGAAAAACGCCACTTGAGAATAACATTAACGCACTCGTGCTCAATAGCAGTGTGTGCTAAATGCATGAGGTGGAAGAGGGTGGGCGGGGCTTCGTCTACCATTTGTAAACAGTCTGTGAACCCTGGCTACTGCTGTTCAATGCATTTATGGGGTCGGCCATGTGATGGTGTGTTGCCTGCTGATGCGCAGCATTAGAGCCATAAAAACATCATTACGCTGCTGGATGACAGAGTCACTATCTCGTGACGCGCGTGCGCACACACGCACGCACACACACACACAAAAAGGCAAGTGTTTCATCATACATGGCAAAATCTGCCATCTATCGCCTTTCCTTCCTTAATTCAACTCTAATTCAACAGCATCAGGCAGCAGCTCACATTTAAAGCATTCTGCTGACAATTTTCAGTCAATATGACGTACAACCAGCACAAGATAAGATGCTTCTGCATTCAACTCATGACACAGCTGAGATAAAAACAGCCCTTCAGCATGATTTTATTGTTCACTTACAGTGATTAAAGTTACAGTCAGATAGATACTCCCAAACAGCACCCTAAAAATAAAAACCATAAACAAGCCAACAAACTCATCTCACATCTGGACCACACCCAAAAGTCTGTGTACTGGAACTTTAATGTGCCTTTAACCCATACACATCTATCTCCAGAGAAAGAGACTGGAGACGGGGTTAAATGATGCACTGGCGGAACTGGAAACATGCTTCTAAAATAAAAATAACTAAATCATATCTCACCACCAAAAAAAGAGTTGTCTTAGATCTCACTTGACTTGCAATGGGTGAGCAGGTCGTTTTGCTTAAGAAAACTCTCACACTCATAGACACACATGGGTTATTATAGGATCAAAGTCAACATACTCTGATTCATTGAACTGTGTCCATCCTTATTGACTGAATTTGTTTGTAAGCCGACAGAAGAGGAAACACAGCGCGCCTGAGTGCCAGCTCTGTGCATTAATCCTTGAAGTCGCTCCCATTACGACGGCTCTAAATAGCATTGTTAGGACGAGAAAGATGATCCAATAAAAGGGACGACGATTTCATAGCTGCGGCAGCCCGAGGGATTATTTCATTTATCAAGCCGTTGTCACCTGCACGCTGCTCTGAAAATAATTTGGCAGAAAGAAAACAGGCAGCCAGACACGTTCAAGAGATTACACATGCAGGCTCACAGAGGTGAAACTTCTGTCATGCCCGCCGCAAAAGTGTATAAATCAGAAAAAACAGCAAATGAAAAGAGAAGCTCTTGGAGAATAAGTGGCAAAGTAACATTGTTAGCAAGTGAGTGAGAAGTTGATCAGAAACTAGAGGTTTCCGGTTCAGGTTATAGACTCACTGTGGAAGGTAATGAACTGGAAGTCTTTAACTGTGGAATAATGTGCGGGGGCGTGAAGGAGTCACCTTTGTGTTTTGTTGCCCAATGTTCCCGTTTCTCTCCTTTCCACATCCGAAAGAAATGGAGAGACAGGAAATCTGAGCTAAATGTTAACATCGCCAAAGACAACACTCACATGCTGATGTTTAGCAGGTACTATTTTCACCTTGTTCTTCACTTCAGCGTGTTAGCAACAACAATTAGCGCTAACATAAAGTGCAGCTAAGGCTGATGGGAATGCCATTAGGTTTAAAGTAATTTGGTCATAAAAGTAAGTATCGGAAAAGTAATGTGTTTTATCTGGTGATGGCCCAGCGTGGACAATGAAGAGAGCATCATTATTAGGATCTATCATGAAGGAGGCATGAATATATGAAGCAGATTTCAATCAATTGGCAAAAAATAACTTGATGATATTCACAAAAAGTTAATGTGTGAAAAGGAATAGTGAAGACTGAATATTTCCTTCCACTAAGTCAAGATTTAAAGCTGGTTTTATAGTGTAATTTCATGGAAGGTGCTTCAAGTCGGATAAAAATGCATCTGTGGGCAATAATGACTCTTGAGGAATCTGATGTGTTCACTGATATCATCTTTTGGAACAGTTCACATGTATCCCAGTGCTAAAAGTTTAAATATAACAATCTTGTACAAATGTTGAATAAAAGTCTCTTTTATATATATCTGTAAGTTAGACTGCTGTGTCAAACTGAACTAAAAACAGTCATATTCTCGTTTCTCTCAACATTAGGAGACAGTGCACACAACAAAGCAAGACAGTTCTACCAATTCTATTTTTAGACTCATACAAAACAGATTTTAACCCTTACTTAACCAAACCAGCAGAATAAGAACCTTATGTATATCTCTTGCGGCATCCAGCGTTGTCTAACATGCTCAACACTGAGCAGCTCAAACTGATCTGCTTATGAGAGATTTTGATCTTATTTACGCGACACAAACATACAAAAAGTACTTTGTTATCCTCGCCACATGCAGGCTCATTACCGTAGAAATAAATGTCATCTGTCAAAGCCTTTTGAAAACACTCGACTTTAAAAAAGGTCTTTTGAATGTCAAAAGTGACATGAAAAGCAAATCAAATGTCAGTAAGCGTGTTTTCTATATCAGCGGCTGAGAAATGAACCGCAGCCAGTTGTAAATGAGAAGCTCGTTTTACTCATTTGCACGAGGCACGATTTCACTGTGTCGTTATCGAGTACGAACACTCCCGAAAATATCTGTTCCATTTCTGTCAAGGTCTGATATTTAGCTATTAATAACTCTAAACACAGATTTAGCTTTTGGTGTCCGTGCTGGGACCGAGACGCTCAATTCAACAAAGAAAGACGCACTACAACTGAAAATAAAAATGTATATTCATTAGATAATAAAGAAAATACTTGACCTACACGTTTGACAATCGAGTCAACTTTACTGTATTTACCGATTCAACAATATTAAGATCTCGAGCTGAAACAATTAATCAATTTGTTGATGGACAGAAAGTTACGTTTGTCAATCATTGATTTGAATCATTTTTTAAGCAAAATTCCAGCTGCTCAAATCAGAGTAAAGTGAATATCTTTGGGTTTTGGTCTGTTTGTCAGACAAATCAAACAATTTGGATAATATCAGCTTGGATTTGAGAAACTTTGATTCTACCAAATGATCGATAGATTATTCTGACGGATTAATGAATAAAGAAATCATAGCTGCAGCCCTAAAAATCTTCCCTGAATAACCTTAAACAAACACACAAAGAAAAACACAAATAAATAAAAGTGTACAATGAACCGTTTCTTCTTTCACCGCTGCAGTTGCTACACAATGTCTTTTCACAACTGAGGCTTTTGTATCTCCGCACAGCTGAAGCAGAGCAGGTTGTCACAAAGGACAGCTCTAAAAATAGGAGCTCGGCTTTTCTGCGGCCGAGAGTGGCAGGTTTGTTCTCTCTGCAACCGCCATTTCTTAGCAGGTCTGAACTGCTCGACCCCCTGAGCTCCGATCTTTGCAACCTCTTCCTCGCCATCCACTTCTGCTCTGAACACGGCAGGACTCCGTGATGAACTACCGAGATACGACGTGAACGGGGATTCTATGTTTGCGTGCAGCAGAAATGGTCGATTCATCTTCAAACAGCTGTGTTATGCTCGGGTAAATGTCTTTCAAAGCCATCATAATCAAACACTTAGCACATTAACGGCACCATCAGTACATCATCTCCACATTGAATGCAAGACCCAGCAGAACCGCACCCACACAGCAGGGATGGTAATAATCCAGAGCGCCGAAAGACATTCGATACCATTATCAAGCACATCAGCAGAGAGGCACAGCGTTGGAGAAATGATGCCCCTCAATCAGCCCGATTGTTGCCATTATCTCGGTTTACGAGCCCATAAGCTGTACCAGAGAGATGTTTATCGCGTTGTTCTGTCATCACCCGGCGACGTGACGAAGTCGATTCTCAGCCTAAGCATGTTCATTCTTCAGATCAGAAACAGGATAATGTGTATGGAAGGAGAGGGAAGAGCGTTTTTTTGAATCACGCTTGATTTTAAAAAGAATTCATTTCATGTTGCCGTGGGTGTCGTGGTAACACAATTGCCTTCTCTCTTCGACTTCTTCAGCCTCGAAGCCAGCAAATGGAAGGTATTTATTAAGGGAGTCTACCAGAAGCTACAGATACGACGACAAATGAGAAACAGACGCAGATAAAACCACCAGCAGGAACACAACACAGACAGCTAGAAAACACACACACACACACACACACACACACACAGAAAACACCAAACAACATTGTCAATAGATACGGTACCTGAGGTTTATTGCATTCCTGGGAGCCAGGTTAAAGGAGAAAGCCATGGAAAGAAGCAGAGGAGATGAAAGTTATCAAACATTCCACTTGTCAGTCGAGGATGTGAGGAACAGCAGGTGAAAGCTTCACCGCCTTGTTAAAAAATGCAGCATTTTGCACCACACTGAGAAAAGTGTCCGTGTTAGACAGAAGCCTAAAACGTCCTTTATGCCCAATACCAATAAAACACTTTAATTCATCCCTTCCTATGGCAGACGTTCAACTCATTTCAATGTTGAACAAGCATCTTGAAACACGTTTCTTTCATTCTGAAAACAATTATTCTGGCAACGCTTTTTCACTGTTCTGGGACTCGGCACATTAATGGGATTTCAAGGTGAAAATTCAACTTTCTCAGTGCTCTTATAGCCAAGGACAAGTAGGGAACATGCAGACACTTGCATTATTATCCTGGCTCGCCCACACATCCCTCCATTGAGCGTGCCTGCAGATTACAGAACAGATCAGTTTAACTTCCGGACCTCCTCATTACCACTGCAGGACATGTTTGACCTCTAAGCAGACAATAAGACTCCAATTATAAAGCTGCTATGTGTAATGGTTTTCAAAATCACTTTAACTTCTCTAAATTAACATTGAAACCTTTGGCACGTCACCTCAAACACACGCCATCGTGGTGCAGGAAGCTCTGAGCCTCCATCTCATTCCTCTACCAGTTAGAAAGTTAGTCCACATGAAAAGAATCACATGAAATGATGTTTGATTAAACGATCCTACGAGAGATTCTTCAAATCAATCATCCAAAGAAAACGCAACTTCAAAGTAAGGAAAATATTTGAATGAAAGCTCACACATGGCAAGCAATATTTAGCTGCTTGTGCTCACGCTAGCTTCAAAGGCGGGATGAGCGACCTCAATACAAAATATTATCGAATGAATAGCTCGATACTTTGAGAGATACACTTCTGCGATTACTTGCCGACGGTTAGAAGAGGCGATCAATACCATGTTCAACTGGAGCCAGCAGCAGGGTAGCTTAGCGTAGCGCAAAGACTGGAATGAGAGGAAAGAGGTAGTCTGGCTCATCCTGCCTTTGAAGGTAGCAAGCAGCTAAATATTGCTTGCTATATGCTATATGTGTAGCCTACATATTGAACAGACTCACATGAGAGTGGTATACAGTTTCTAATTCTTGCCAAATGCTGAAACTATTCTTTTGAAGTGCACCTTTTTAAATTGCAAATTACAAGCAAAATAAACCCATTAGCCCCAATAACAGGTAAGTTAAGATAGAGCGGGTGTGAAGTTAATGTTAAGTGAAGCTGTGCTATAAACAACATACAGGAGCATACATCTCTGAGGAGACCACCAACATATCCATTCATTTTTCATGATAACGTTGTTGTCTCAGGGTCTCTGATGCAAGCACTAAACTTTTTATATTCAAAAACTCTCAAACATAAATACTTGTCAGAGAAACTGACGAGGGACTCATCCTTATCTGGAATAACTCCACCTCCATATAGACCTGAAGGCAATTAAAAAGTAGTCAGAAGAAGAGTGAGCAATGTCAGTGTCAAGGACACTCCAGCAGAGCGCACGGTTGCTGATGGACACGTCGGCTGCTGCAGGGATTAAACCTGTGACCTTCTGATTACAGGGCGGCCTCGCTAACCACCAGGCCGCCCGGGTGGAGGAAAAGAGTAAAAGGAGTATTGATTGGCCGACTCCTGCTGCTTTTGTAATTACAGAACAGCTGTTTGGAGCCTTTGACACCCTACTGGCCACCGAGTAAACCCAGAGGAGGAATACTTCTCATCTGCTCAGAGAGTTTGGGGCGTCTGGGGCCGAGGAGGAGAAGGCAGAGGAGAGGAGAAATGGAGGACAAAGAGTAGAGGAGATATTGGAAATTATCATAATTTGTTGTAGATAAAATCTGGAGTGTAGTGTTCAGTAAACATGAGGCCCCGATAGCGGCCGCATCAACATTTCATTTGAAACTGAGTGACGGCACAAAGACATTAAGTGACTGAGTGAGAGATCAGGGAGAAAATGTGTGTGTGTGTGTGTGTGTGTGTGTGTGTGTGTGTGTGTGTGTGTACACGACTGAAGAGAGAAGAGCGACAGAAAGAGTGATGCTAGAAATAACTGGTGTCCATTCTGAAAAAGGCACCCGAGTGTTAACCCACTGCTGTGAGCACACAGGAGACGTGTTGAATCATAAACACTGTCCTCTTTCACTGCTCGGATTTATCCAGGACACATCTGCGGAAACAGAAATGTATTTTCAAACAGCCAAATCCAGATGCAAACCCTTTTAGATGCCTGGTTCTTTGCTTCTAGTGGTGGCAAACTACAAATGTAAGCTCAGAGTGACAGCCGTGTTCCCTTTCAGGCATTTTAGATGTGAGCCGTCAGTTAGATTTCTCAAGTGAAATGTGGCACAATATCTCCCATAACAAGAAGAAGAGCCTGAGAAGGTAGCTATGGGGATAAAACTGGACTGCTTATCAGAGACAGGAGGTAAAAAAAACAAAATAAAAGAGCACTATCTTACGTCATACCTTAAATCAAAAGATTCCAATGTTTAAAGGTAGGTGAGGTCCTTGACAATAAATCTGACAGGTGCATTAGAAGTGAAGCCCAAACTGCCATCTTTTACCTTAGAAGTATTGCAAAGGTCAGTCTATTCCTGTCTTTGGAAGAAGCTGAAACACAAGAGGCCTTCGTTACCTTAATGCACTAGTAAAAAGACAAGGGTTCAGGCACAACTTCTGCATTTGATCGCTGCCAACTTTGAGATCCACACAGGTTTGGTGTTTGATGTAGCTTTGCAGGCGGGTATTAAGAACGGAGACGCCATCTTCCTTCGCCAGAGTTACAAAGATGGCGACAGAAAAATAGTCATAAAGCTGGTAAAAACTAATAGAGTAGTCTACATCATTGATTCACCTCAGACTTCACATCTTTCCATCTCAGAACTACAACAAAAGCCTATGTTGAGGCTCTTCTGACTCTGAATCAGCCTCACAAGGGACCAATAACCTGAGGGTGCATCAGACTATTGGCACAAAAGATTACAAAAACATTTAATTGTGTTGCCCTCTCATGCTGGTTGACTCTCCGTCACTATGTTGTTGGATTGTGAAGCACGTAGAATTGAATTTTCCAAAAATATCAAGACTGATGGATTGTAAACTTAACCAGCCAATTAAACTATCTAACAAATACTATTCTACACTTTGTCTCTCTCAAGTAATAGTAAAACAGATCCAAATGAAACCACTAATTAGCATGAATATTATACTTTAGGCCAGACTTGCATTATGTTTGAACCCCAAATAATCCTCACTTCATACAGATCATAGCGAGTAAGGGCCCGGGGGGGGGGGGGTAACTGTGTGTGTGTGTGTCAGCACTCTCAGAGGGAGTTCCACTGCTGGGTTACAATTACATTTATATTTTAGGGTATTACGCTGGCACTCTTTCAGAGCAACTCTCAATGACTGAGCATGTCCAGTTCAGCGTGTTGCTCAGGGACACTCAGCCCACTGCGGGGATCGAACCTGTGCCCTCGGAAGGCTGCGCTGCTACTGGCGAGGCATTGGCTATTTCAGGATTCAATGCAACACTGAGGACGGAGGCTGACATTGGCCCGTCACATCTCATTTCATCGCGCTCACAAAAGCAGAACATAGCCGCCAATTAATGACAGGTTTCAACAATAATGACAAACTAATCTTTTAAACAGCTAACAATATTGTTTCCTTAATGTCTTTTATCTTCATTGCAGCATTGTTTAAGCAAAGAAAAGCAGCTAGTGGTGTACCTTGTACAATATGTTGCATTTTTATGGAATAAACTAGCCAACAATATAGTTAAAAACAGACTCTAAGACCATTAAAATGCTACTTAAATACATCAGTAATAACAATCAAATATATAGTTATAAAGTTCTGACAGGGGCCGTAATAAGACTTTTCATTTGGACACATTTTGCAGACAGTATGGTCTGCCAGCATCTTCCTGTCAGTAACATGAATTAAGGTCAAATCCAATGTTTGAGATATGGCTTAAAACAACAAGAGCTGAAACAAATGATTGGTTAATCAATCAGCCGAAACTAAACACCCACGTTGATAACGGATCATCAGTTTAAGTCACTCATCAATCACTAATGTGAGGATGTGCCGCTTCTTCTCTCTCTCACTTTCTCAGTCATTTTGTAGCGAAACAATAATCTTTAACAGCATGATCAACAATGAAAAGAATCATCTCGGCCCTAAATAAAACAGACTTGTCTACAGTATTTCTCACATTTGAAACCTTCAGATCAACAGCTCCTCTGATGTTTTCCTACCTCGCCTCACATTCGCCTTCATAGGAGTGACTAAGCTGAATAAAAACCTTGCCTGCCAGAGAGATTTCCTTTCTTCAATCCCAAGTTTCTCCTCGGTGCATTTCTCCCCTCCTAAATACGCCTCGGGGTAGGAGGGAGGAAAATCGGAGCGCTGCCTGGCATTCTAAATGCCGGAGATTAGCTTGCTATGTCAGCTTAGCATCCGCCCAGATTCAGCTTCTCTGTCGCTCTGCTCCCCTCCACCCCTCTGTCAGCAGCAGCAGCAGCAGCAGCAGCAGCGTACTGCACTCTTGTTAAGTTAGCTCCCTTCCCTACTGTACTTCTGAGTGCACTCGACCAGAGCCCATTTGGGACTGCTGGTTGCCATGGCACCCGCTCCATCCTTCCCACAGGAGCGGTGAAGAGTTGAGTGTGTGACGGGAGACGTAGGGCCATGTGAAAGTTCAGTGCGGTCTTTTGAAACAAAAACACAGCGAGTCTAAATTTAGGAAGCAGGGTGGGGCTGGAGGGAGGCTTGGGGGGGGGTTTGATGCTTGCCGCATTTTCCCTTTTTTAAGCGTGATTGTTTCACAGTGTTCCAGGAAGAACCAGGTGCACCGACAGAACCCCCGCGGGAACGCCGGGAATGCAGTGAAATTGTGCAGAACAGGAAACGCCGTGTGTAAGAACTGCATGCTGGGTATTTGCGTCATTAGTGTGAAAATGCTTTGCTTCCTATTCCCAGGCAAAGAAAGCACAGAAGGGAGAGGGGACCTGGTGCAAACGCAACGGGCAGCTAACTCTTCCTCTGCTGGAGTCGAATCCCTTCACATGGTTGGAGTGAATGCTCTTCCACAAAGATGGTGCACTCTGATTGGATGAGGCTTTGCACTGTCAGGGCACCAAACCACACTTCTGCTTTCATTTTTCATCGAAAAAATCCCCCCCCAAAAAATACAAAGTTTGCCGACGTGTCCGGCCTCTAACATGCTGAAACAGGATGAAATTAGGAGAAGTACTGCATGAGAACGGTTTCATACACACATTAGCACTGGTGGATTTGGAAAACGAATGTCTTTCAACACCAGCCCAACTGTTGAGTATGTAAATGAGGGTTTGTAAGAATAGAACAGCTGCGAGACTCATGAAAGTAGGCACCATCTGACTCAGAACGTTTTCCTTCTCCCAAACTCTCTTCCTCCTCCATTTCTCTCTCCGTGTGGATCTCATGACAATCACAAAATCACAAAATACTCCATTCTCATCGGCAACTGTCCTAAAACTGCCTGTCATTTCCAAACCAATCAAGGCTGTGTTGAATCTCAGAATCTCCATAAATGAAACTAGAGATGGTGAGATAATGCAAATCCATTTGTTTCACAGATATCCTTTTTGTAAATGACATCTTCAAAGGGATTTGGAGGGACACAACTTCTTCTAAACAGTGTCCATTTTCCCACGTTAACCTCTGAAACAGGGCTGAAAATGACACTGATAGATGTTTTTCACATCTTTCATTGAAATGCTTGACAGTCAACAGAGAGGCACTAGGAGACTGTGCTGTGCGGTTCTTTAAAACAGTGGTTGTCAATCTGTTTTTGCTTGTGACCCCATAATATGAACCAGCAGTACAGTTAAAGTGATTGTCCTTTTTAACATGCACTTTAATTTGAATATATTTAGAGGTCAGAGAACGTAAAGCTGTGCACTTGTTAGCAACACAAGTTCCCAGGTTGAGAAACACCGTTTTAAAAACGTTCAAACTAAACTACTTTCTTTTCCCCTGGTTCAATGATCAAACACTCGTTTCAAAAGGTTGAATTCTCCAGGACACACTTTCTGTAAATCCAAAGAACTGTAGGACGATATGCACCTTGAATTTGCTTTGCAATATGCTGACATTTGTATCATTCAAGTGCAGAGACAACTTAAGAACAAGAAATGCATTGGTGGAGAGTGTGCCAAAAACCTGAAAAAAACAGAAGTATTTTCTGACAACAATAAACACCACAAACAAGAAGAGGCAGGTATAGCACAGATAAACTACAGTATAAAGGATGCTCAACGAACTACAACACATTTATTACAGAGAGGGTGGAACGACACACCAAAGCCAGCAGCTACAAACATCACACAAGTGTATAGCAACTTTAATCTATCAAGGACGGGTAAAACAACATTTGAACACTACAGGGAGGAGAGCCCAGCCCACCCTAAGGAGACATGGGTGCCCTCTCCTCGGGAGACATCAAAACACAAGAACCTACAACCGAGGGAAAGCTGAGGCCAGCAAACAGAGAGAAAAACACAGATGTGGTGTAACAGGGAACAGACATGTTCAGCTACCATCTGAAACAAGACTGCACAACAGGTCCTGAAGAAGGAGCGAGACAGGCAATCAAGAGCAACACGTAGCGCACACACAGCGATCCAGCGCAGCGAGGGTGAACACAAAACTGCAGCGCAGGGTGCAACTCACCGTGTGGTATCCCCGGTCTATGGGCGGCTTCCCGGTGGGGTACGGATCCACGGTGTCGATGATCGTCTGTCTCTCCCCTTTCTGGTTGATCTTCCGAAAGCGCCGACGGGACTGTCTGTGAGAGGCTTGCCGCTGAAAGTACTCCTCATTTTCATCCATATAGTCCACCTGGAAACGATAGTGAGGGAGGGAGACGGAGAGAGGGGGGAGTGACTGTCTTCATCTTCATTCACGCCCAAAAGCACACAAAAAACCCCACCCTCCTATACTCCAGCTCCGATTCCTCCTCCGCCTCCCTGCCTCCCGCCCCGCTCTTTGCGTAAAAATAGAAGTGTGTGTGGGCTGCGCGATGCACACCTACGTCAAAGGGTGCTCACAGCGCAAAAAAAACAAGAGAGACCGAGGGAGAAAGGAGAGCAGTGGGGCGCAGATTGATTGACAAGACTGATAAACAAGAGATGGAGTCAGACGGAGTAAAAGACAAGCAGATGGAACAGACGCACTCTCGACTCTCTCTCCGCATCTGTTAAACGTATTAACCACAATGAAATTGCGTGTTAAAACAAGATAAATCATGTTTCCATTTTTAATGAAATTCAAAGGAGGGGAAAAAAAAGAAGATTTTCCAAGTGGAAAATAACACAGGATGCCAGTTCGACATTTGTGCAGTGAAGTCATATTCTACAGTATTTTTGGGTTGCACTCTGTTGCCTGGCGGCTTTGGTTTAATGCTGGAGTGACATGTTTAAGTTTCTTTCTTCTTTGGACCCCCTTCCTCGCACTCACTCGCCACTTTCACTGCGGCTTCACGTTTTCTTAAAGCGCTCAGCTTCTGGGATTACAACACTGAAATCTCTCTCTCTCTCTCTCTCTCTCTCTCTGCCGTACCAACTGCTGCCATGACGACGGCGTGTGAGCGAGAGCGTAAGTGTGATCGCGTGTCTAATTGCAAATCTCAAAGAGCAACGTGTGCATGCATGTACGTGTGTGTGTGGGCATGTACAGTAACTAGCACGTGAGCGGCTTATTTCTTTTCTTTTCATCCGACGTGTTGGTCTCTTTGCTCATGTTTGTAACTGTGTGCATCTCATACTTATGGGGGGGGTTATCCAAATGTATCTATATTTCAGCAGCACAAATCCCTCCTCGGTAATTGCAGGGCGGGTTGGCACCCATTATAGCAAAAAAAAGGGGGTAAGGCCAGAAAGTGTCTGCAGCTAGCAGAGCAGAGGGTGTTATTACCGAGGGGGTTGTGAGAAGCTGCTGATACAGGATCAGTTACAAGAAGGCCCCCCCCTCATCTCCAACAGCACACTCATGGAGACACAGCAACTACAACATGTGATGTGCCGTGGCTGCAGAGCAGTGCCAACCAGTCCTTATTATATACCGGCAAGACGTGGGTTGTGTGTCATGTCTTTAAAAAAAAAAGAAAGATGCAGGCGGAGGGGAGGATTTGCATGTGCTAGAAATGGTGGAGAGCGAGTGTGTGAGTTTGAGGAACGCGCTAGAAACCAAAATCAAATGTTAACACCTTAGCAGTGGACAAATGGCCGGCAGGCACTCGCACTGGTGTTGTGTTTTGGCTTCATATGCCACAGTGTGCACAGTTTTGCTGGCTATTTGAACAGCTTTGTTCACTGCCCCTCAACACTCTGTTGCCTGCAACTGGCAAAGAAAATATGAATTATGTTTCTCGTCTGTGTTCCTCTTTAAATGTGAATCTGTTTGAGGATGGATTTGTGGAGGTTATGATGATAGGAAATGTACACTTACAACCGTGAAAATAAACTACAAAAACAACACGCTTTTCTTTCTACTTATCTACCGTCTATCTGCGAGGGTTCATCGCAATCATTCAGTTGATACAAAAGTTACAACTGAGGAAGGCTTTCTGATTAAAGAGAAAAACATCCAGTCCACTTTGGATCCAACTCTCCGGGCCTCCTATTCTTTCATATCTCAACCTACAATTGTCTGATGTAGTGTGTCAACAAATGAGCAGACGTGAAGCCGCAGCGAGCATACTGTACGTACGTTTTCTTGCAGCACTGTAAAAGACAGCTGACAACATCGGTTTTGTCTCTCGTACACTTCCGCCCTTTAGCACAAACTTATAAGCAAAAAAATGCATCTGTTCTGATATCTGCAGGCTTCAGAGAGCTTCTGGTGAACAGATGATTTGAGACGGGAATGATTTGTTCAGAACAACTGCTTTTGTGAGCAAACATTTGATTTGCCATAAAACTGGGTCAGAGCTTCTCCCAGTCGTGGACTCGAGCAACTCCACGCACGCTTAAAGACAATAAAATACTGGGATGAAATGTCAATAGGAGGCACTTATAACAGATTAGTAGGGACACCGCTGTAAGACGGTTTGGTGATCCACAGGATAGAGTTCACTCTTAACACATCAAGGAACTCCAAAATCAATCAATCATTATCCACGACGCTGACATCAGAGAAAACTGAAGCCCAAAGCACTGCTGGGTTACACTTAAACCAGAATCAGGTTTTATTTTAGATCAGGTGAATGTAATGTTCTTGTTAGGATAGAAAAGAACCAGAGTTTGACACTGTAAACGGTGAAGAGCACTATGGTTTACAAAAACACAAGATAGGTGTTTGGATTTGGGTTATACGTAATTGAAAATTAACATTTGAGTGGGAAAAGCTTCGTCAAAAATAACAAAAATGACATTTAAAAAATAATACCCGTGTGCTAAAAGTCTGATAAAATGGGACTCACCACAATCATCTCTGAGGGTTCCAGGACGATGCACTCACATCCACGCCGCAGGCTGCCTGCTGATCGCTTCCCAAAACTGGACAGAAAAAAAGAAAAGAAGAAATTAATGAAATGATGAGAAAAAGAAGAATTTGGACGTCAACATTTATCTAATAAAAGCAAAGTAGTTTATGTTTCCCTGTAAAATCTGTAATGGCATATTAAGTTAAGAGCTTTTACTCTCACACTGACAGCCAAGACGTCTGTGTAGGTCAATCGGTAAGTCTGTGCCCGACATGTTAAATATGCAGTATGGAATTTCTGTATAAAATGTTGAACAGCGCAGCATTGAATGGACAAGTTCCTCCTTTCAGCTGGGACCACACCCACCTGAAGGGAAACACCCGCCTCTGGAAAAGTCCACTTTCACGACGTCACAGTTTGTACAGTATGCTTCGGGCCTAATGAGCGGGGGAACCGGGGAGTATTAAAAAAGAAGCAGAGACCAAAATGTCTCAAAGGAGGGCAGTAGCCATGGAAACTTTGAGCAAGAGGAGATCCAACTTGTGGGCTTGATGAAGAATGCAGCCTTTGTCCAGCAGCCGACCTCGATGCAGAGACACAAGGACTTCCTTGTTTGTTTACTTTTTTGCATCTTTCGATTCAGAATGTGACCTACATCCGGTTGGTTTGCCGATTGTTTTGTAAGATAAACTGAAGTGACTCCAACAGGACGGAGGGCTGCCGCGTTTGAGCACCTCATGCTGTGCAGCGTTGCATTATTCAGATTCACTAGTCGTGATTTTAGACCTGCAGGTTTAATATTTACATGGAGTCAATATGTGTGGAAGCTGAAATAATTATAACATACAACATTTTTAAGCATTTGTAAGCAAAAATGCAGAAATATGATTATTTGTTGCTTTTTCTTGTCCTATGATATCTTTTGGATTGTTGGTTGAGCAAAACAAGCAATTTATGGGTGTCTTTTTGAGCCCAGGGATGTTGTGATGGCCACTTTTCACTAGTTTTTGACATTTGAGGCTAAACGATGACTGTTTTCGATCAATCCCTAATGCAAATGATCTTGAATTACAGACCTATATCCTCATTTCTTGCAGTAACTCGCTGTTCTTTCTCAATTCCTAAACTGGGTCTGTTGAGGCCTTTTCTTCTTGAACTTCAGCATGTAATTGATACAAAGTGAGTAACTGCGGGTGAAGAAAGTTCTTCGCGGTGCTCACGGTGAAGTGAGCAGTGCTGTGTGGCTACCTGTGTTGAGGCTGTGGAGGTGTCAGCATCCATCAATCCCACCGACAGGTGCAGACCTCAGGCACAGCATGGTCTAAATGCTTTCAGGCCCCGGGCTTGTGGCTACATGTTGTGGGTACGGCTCGGTCAGACTGGAAAATAAATACCAGCAAACTGCAAAGAGCCGGCGATATTCCACCTGACACTTTGGCAAAGAGCAAATAATGATTTTTGTGGAGTCTTTTATTTTCTAAAAGTCAATTCCGCTTGCTTTGCTTTTCTCTTTCTGCCTCCTTTCACAGTCCAGCCTTTGTTGTGTTTTTTCCTCTTTTGTCAGCCGTCCTGTTTTTCTCTGCCAGGGCTGCAATTTTACTCGACTAACTTGTTTCTTACTTTCTGATGCCTCTTGAACTAGAGTTTGTCATATAAGTCCACATGATTACAGTTAACTTCTGCTGAGAAGCACAGAGTGAAATCAAAGACAACTTGAGTGGCTGGATCGGATGAAGGCAGTGCGGGGGTTAATGCTGATGGTTGCCGTTTGCTTTGCCTGAGCTTCAGTTTAATGCGTTTTAACTCAGCTTGTATCCCTGACATACACAAGCCGGAATTCCACCACAGGGCCAAACAGAGGTACAGTATGGAGAGCTTACTCTGTGTTTTCTCTCACAAGAAGACAAACGTAATTCTTTCGCAACTTATTTCCAGCAAAGATGATTTGTCAGCTGGGCAGCAGCTTCAGAGGAGCGAGTGCTTCTGATCCGGTTTTGCAGACGTTTGGAGTCGGTACCGGCTCTGATCCTGTTGAGCCTCCCTAGGCCGGCTCTACTTTTGGGGAAAGGGAGCGGTGAATCCAGCCATTACGCATCACGAAACACGTTGGGCCACCAGATGTTAAACAACAAAAGGGACATGTTCAATCATGTTCCTCCATTACGCTCCCGACATGAGTAATCCAATCCTCCATTTTGCGGGAGGCAAATGCCACTGGCAATGTGAGATATTAGAGAAGGGATTATGGAAGTGGAGAGTGAGTGGGTGGGAGGGTTTTTCAAACACAAACGTGTCTTGTTTGGAAGATTAAAGCCTCCACTGCTCTATGACTAGTCCTAAGCATATATTAGAGTACCAGATCTGCTGTGTGGGTGAATGTATATCAGGCAACAGATAGAATACGTCTAAATGTCTAAATGTGTGATTCTCCCAGTGGATGCTTGGTTGGGTTGGGGTTTGGGCATCTTTGCAGCAATCAACACCGTCACACTGCAAAGTTTGACAAATGCAAATATTTTAATTTCTATTAGCTCCACCGACGATGTGTGCACGATCTATTTGCTATTAATAATGCTGCACTGAGGAATTCAGGTCAAGATGACGTAAGGTTTGTGCTTTCTATCCTGGGAATTAAAGTGTGTGCTGACTGACAAATGTATAAAACCAGATAAGAAAAAGATAAGAAATGTGCCAGATGGTTGAGCAGCTTTGTAAGTCAGTTATAACAGAGCACAGCACTGAGCAAAGATTATCGGCGTCATACTCTCCACACAAATAATGCTGTTATACGTGTTGCGTTCAACAGCACAATTGTGTGCCGTTAAAAAGATCATTATCCTCACTCCACTTCAATTTATTGTCCCTTCAAGGGGGAATTCACCATGCAAAGGCCATTACAAATACAACAGACAACACGCGGTGCATGAATACATAAAGATGCAGCACATACAGACAGAAAAGCCCTCATCAAAAAAGAATCAAGTCAGAAATGTTCAATGAACAACTTTGCACTTTGAGAAACATATTTGTTTGTGCAGCAGATTCATGACGCATTCACGTCATATCGGATCTTCCTCAATTACCAGTTTCTGACTTCCAGGTGGTTATTATGACTGGGAAACTGGGCTGTTTCTAAAGAACTTGATGTATTCAAATTGCCACTTTATAATATGGATGTGCCACAAATCCAAACAAACATGGACGCCTCATGTCAGCCAATGTCTGTTCAATGTAATAAAACCCACATTAAATGAATATAGTGTCAAATCACAGTATTTTAAAACCCTCACAAGGCGGATCTACAATCATAACAACTATGATCACAACCGTCTTGATCTAAAAGGTAAAAGCTGCACCAACAACAGCACCTGTTGCATGAAGATGACATGCAGATGAAGGTGTTGCGTCACTTACGTCTCAGCCTGTTTCATAATGCTTTATAACCTCTGACGAGAAGATTTGAGCAAAGATTCAATGAAAGTTTTCAAATGAAACCCTGAATCTCTTGCTCTCCCAGTTCCCCTCCCGTTACACAACAAGCCCGGGCGTCTGGAATGTCATTCCGCATGCATCACCAGCCTTTCACTCTGCGAGCCCGGCAGTCCCACCACCAAAGCCTCAGATCCATTCTGCCGTCTGACTGAACCGGTGCAATCCCTAATCTGCACCCCTGGTCTGAGCTGGAGGAGGAGGGTGGTGGGGGGGGGGGGGGGGGGGGGGGCTCCTCACTCTGTTAATCCGTTTAACTGAGTAAATGGTGAGAGGGCACAACAGCTTTTTTTAACCCAACGGACCCTTAAAAAGGGACAAAAGATTAAACTGGTTATGCAAGAGTTCAGACCCAGCTCAGAGAAGGAGGGAAGTGGAGGTCAGAGGAGGGAGAGGACGTCTCTGAAGTGACGCTCAATGAAAACAGCATCCAGGCTTGAGGGAGTTTACCAACATCCCCTCTGAGCTGCAGCGGTCCATCAGACCACCTCTCAACCTTGCGAACATAAACAGAATTCTGCGGAGTGACGGCGTGGCCGCACCACACACGTGCCCCCGAACCTTTGCCCCACCACTTCTGAAATAGACACCGATGCCAAGAATGTGCGAATGGCACGCGACTTTAGCTCTTCCCAAAATACAACACAAGAAAAGGGCACTGAAGTAGAGTTTTAGAAAGAGAGAGAGAGAGAGAGAGAGACTAAGCTGGCCGCCCAAAACTTTTCCAAGATGTATCAATCAATCATCGCTGCATCTATAAACCATTTCCAACACATTCTCCCCACAGCAGGAGCTCCATCTTTGTTTTGGTTTCAAAGTCTTGTGTAACCCCCCCCCACCACCCAAACATGAAGAACACACACCCCTTCTTTTTTTTTTTTTTCTGGCAGTACACACTGCTGCACACTGACAGATCCAAAATAACATCAAAGACGTGTTTCACATTCCACACTGCAACCAGCTCGGAGACTAGTCAGATTTTGAAATCGCAACCAAAAACGCAGGAGTTTCAGGGCAGAGCTTCCTGTGAGCCATAATACAGGAGTTAAGTGCCGCTGTAAGTCTGGACACTCACCCCCGACTCTGCAAACCGCTCCCAGAGTGACACCACCAGCAGATAAGATAAGAAGATCCCCGTCGTTAGTCCACAGTCGGTCCAACAAGCACGTTCCAAGTCCCGACACTTTGGTGCGACTGCGGCATATCGTACTGCGCACACCCGAGTGTTGCCGTCTGAGAATGGGAGTGTGTGGCTCTGAAAGGGTGTGTGTGCGGATCAGCCTCTGCCCAATGGCTCTGCCCCCTTTCTCTCTCTCTCTCTCTCCCTCCCTCTCTCTCTCTCTCTGTGTGTAATGTGGTGCGCTGACTACAGCCAGCATTCCAGCATACGACTCACTTCCTGGCACAGAGACACAAGTGAGTGACAGGGTGTGTGTTCATGTCGGAGTGTGTAGGCGTGGACAGCTTCTGATCTCCCCTTTCGGTAAAAGTTACTCAACAACATCCTTTATCATGAATTCTGTAGAATGTAATACTTTTCCAGTTTTGAGTCGACTGAAATTTCTTTATAATAATAATAATGAC